TCTCTATGTAATATTTCGGATAAAAGTAAGAAGAAAGCTATTCTGAGATTACTAATCACCGTTAAGAAGCCATGCACTTATTCAGCAAGAGAGGCCCTGATGCAAAATCTTGTTGGCTCGAAAATAACACGTGAAGCATGAATGATGATTTTCTGACCCAGAGCAAGAGAAACAGCTTGCGGGGTCAAGGGGAGGCGCAGAAGGGAAACAGGTGCACGAGGAGCCAGGCGAAAGAAGAGACTGCCTTAAAAGACCCAAAGTCGGGGGCTTCCCTGGTGGCGCAGTGGTTGAGAGTCCGCCTGCCGATGCAGGGAACACGGACGGGTTCGTGCCCCGGTCCGGGAAGATCCCACATGCCGCGGAGCGGCTGGGCCCGTGAGCCATGGCCGCTGAGCCTGCGCGTCCGGAGCCTGTGCTCCGCAACGGGAGAGGCCACAACAGTGAGAGGCCCGCTTACCGCCAAAAAAAAAAAAAGACCCAAAGTAAGAGACCGAGGCCAGTAGTTCCTGTTAGTATTGCCTTTTTTCAGATTGCCATTTAAAACAATAACCTTGATTCTTAAATAGTTCAGTTATGTTCATTAACCTCTGATTAAGAAGTTACAGATACAGAATAATAGGCTTTGTAAAACCTTTTTATTTTAAGGTAAATTTGTATGCAGTTATAAGAAATAATGCAGAGAGATCCCAGTTTCCCAAAAGTGGGAAACTACCTTTTACCCAGTTTCCTTCAGTGGCAACATTTTGCAAAACTATAGTACGATACTACAACCAGGACATTCACATTGACACAAGACCTTCCCATCACCACAAAGATCCTTCATGTTGCCCTTTTCCTGCTTCCCTCCCATCCCATGCCCCTCTCCTGTGTCCTTAACTTCTGGCAACCACTAACCTATTCTCCATTTCTACAGTTTTGCCACTTCAAGAGTGTTACGTAAATGGAATCGTGTAACCGTTTGGGATTGACTTTTTTTACTCAGCATAATTCTCTGGAGATTCATCTGGATTGCATGTATCAATAGTTTGTTCCTTTTTATTGCTGTGTATCAATAGTATTCCATGGTATGGATGTACCACAATTGGGTTAACCATTTGCTCACCCGTTGAAGGACATCTGGGTTGTTCCAGTTTGGGGCTATTATAAATGAAGCTGCCATGAACATTCATCTCAGGTTTTTATGTGCACATTAAGTTTTCTCTGGGATAAATGCCCAGGAGTGCAATTGCTGGGTCGTAGGGTGGTTGCATGCTTGGATTTTTTAGAACTGCCAGATTGTCTTCTAGAATGACTGTACCATTTAACATTCCCATCGGCAATTTACGAGTGATCCAGTTTCTTCTCATCCTTGCCTGCATTTGCTGTTGTTACTATTTTTTACTTTAGCCATTTTGGTAGTAAATATTTCATTGTGGCTTTGTGTTTCCCTAATAGCTAATGGTAGTGAACATATTTTCATGTGATATTTGCTATCTAACATCTTCTTTAGTGAAATATCTATTTGTGTCTTTTGTGCATTTTCTAAATAGATTGCTTTTTTACTATCGTGTTTTGAGGGTCCTTTTTGTATGCTAGATACTCCACCTCTGTTGGATATGTGGTTTGCACATATATCTCTCTGTCTGTAGCTTATCTTTTCAGCCTCTCCACATGATCCATAGCCAGGTCCTGAGCCCCGCAGGTCCACATTTACAGCATGAGTGACTGACACAGGAAAACCAAACTCACAAACTCACGTATAAATCAAAATGCCAGTTTATTGTTAGAAAAGTAAGTCTGACCACATCAAGATTTCGCGAACATGTGGAAATATGGGAACTCATACACTGTTGGTGAGAGGGCAAACTGGCACATCAGTTCTGGAGAGCAATTTAGCAACATCCAGTAAAGTTCCTGTATTCTATCACAACCAATTAGACTTAGAGAGAAACTCTAGGACATGTGGAGCAGGATGTGCATTGTTTGTAATGGTGAAAACTAGAAAGAAACTAACCATCAAGAGGGAAATAGAGTGACATATTCATAGTGGACTACTATACAGCGGTGAAGTGAATGAAATATTAGTAAATCTCATTATGGAGCCATAAAGCAAGGTATAAAATAATACAGTATGACATTAGTTACATAAAATTTAAAACATGCAAAACAGTATTCTCTATTCTTTAGGGGTACATATGTGTGTTAATGGTATTTCTGTGTGTGTGTGTGGTACACGGGCCTCTCACTCTCGTGGCCTCTCCCGTTGCGGAGCACAGGCTCCGGACGCGCAGGCTCAGCGGCCATGGCTCACAGGCCCAGCCGCTCCGCGGCACATGGGATCTTCCTGGACCGGGGCATGAACCCGTGTCTCCTGCATCGGCAGGCGGACTCTCAACCACTGCGCCACTGGGGAAGCCCAATGGTATTTGAAAAAAATTTTTTTAAATACAGTAAAAATGTGCTCTTTTCCTCCCTGGCTGCCTGATATCTAGCAGCCATCATGCATGGCCCATTAGTTATTTGCACCAGAGTGTTCATCACTAATGCAGTGCTTCAGCAGATATACAAATGGTCATAAGATGCCCTTTACCCTAGAAAGGCAACAGTACCTAAAATATTGAGACAATAAGCTAAAGTACACAAGACCACCCAGATGTCATCTTTGTCTTCAGATTCAGAACCAACTTGGGTGGTGACAAGACAACGGGCTTTGGCATGATTTATGATCACTTAAACCACACTGAGAGGGCTTCCCTGGTGGTGTGGTGGTTAAGAATCCGCCTGCCAACATAGGGGACACGGGTTCAAGCCCTGACCTGGGAAGATCCCACATGCCACGGAACAACAAAGCCCGTGCACCACAACTACTGAGCCTGCGCTCTGTAGCCCGAAAGCCACAACTACTGATCCTACGTGCCACACCAACCAAAGCCCGCGCACCTAGAGCCCGTGCTCCACAGCAAGAGAAGCCACTGCAATGAGAAGCCCGCGCCCCGCAATGAAGAGTAGCCCCCGCTCACCGCAACTAGAGAAAAGCCCGCGTGCAGCAACGAAGACCCAACGCGACCAAAAATAAGTAAATAAATTTATAAAACAAAATAACCACACTGAGAAAAAGCTACGCACAGAATTTGTAAGACATGGCCTGTATGAGAAGAAAAAGACCTAAAGAGAACACTGAAAGGCATGCAACGAAAGAGTAAAGTTAAGAGGACTACAAAGGCAAATATCGGTGCTGACAAAGATTAAAGATGGTGCAAGGGCTCGATCTGTGACAGTCTGGCAGATTTTCCACCAGATATGTAGTTGATAACTACATATTTAAACAAAACTGGCCAGTACAAACATGGGTTTTCTATACTTTTCATTCATTTTATATTATTAAAAATTATACCCAGAGACCCTGTAGTACATGAGTGTGTGGATAAATGGTTCTGTCTACCTAGAAGGCTATACTATAAACCAAGTTTTTAAGCAGGAGTTGGCTTGATGGATACGCAGTTGGATTCAGGAGAAATAGGGGGATGATCTTACAGCCAGCAGTCAGGAGCTAAGTGACCACAGTAGGCCACTTTCTTCCTCTGGAGAAGGGAGACATTTGCCAATCTGACCAGTACTGCATGTTCCAGGGCTTGGGTGAACCCTGCCGCAACAGTACTAGAGATGAAAACACATCTCTCCCTGGGCGCCATCCCGCCCCTATCCAGCGTCAGTCTAACGGTCTTCACATAAGGCTCTGGATTGGCTTTGGGCATTTCCAAGGCCTACAGTCACACACTTTCTCCACTCTGCCCCGGAACTTAAGAGTTTCAATGGAGGGAGGCAAAGTTTCAGGTACACAAAGTGGCAGGTGCTTGTAATATTCAATTTGCATTTGGCAATGGCCCTTCCAAGGAGATAACCAGGGATCAGGGCCTTGCACTATTTTAGCTTTGCTAGCGCCTCGTTATCAAGGCCTCAGTACAAATGTCACCCAAGGAATGCCTGAAGGCTTAAGGCATTCCTTGACCCTCCAATCTAAAAAGCCAGTCACCCTGTTCTGTTTTTATATCTATTTGAATTTGCCTTATCCGTTTATTTTTGTTTTCTCTTTGTCACTTACACTGAATATAAGCTCCATGAGAGCAGTGACCCTGAATCTGCCTCCCTGTCACCGGCGCCCAGAAGAAAGCACCGAACCCGATTGCCTTTAATAAGAATTTGTTGGGCAGTGAGTTGCTGGATAGTTTGGGGAGGGTCGCTACGGCAGCAGCCTCTCGAGCCACTCTAGAGATGCGAATTCGAATCAGCCCCCACGAAGGAGTACGGACACTTTCCCTGACCCTTCAGTGCTGAAAACCGGAGCAGAGGCAGCAGACACCGGGAATCAGCGATCCGAGACAGCCTCTTCTGAGCGCTCCAGACCCGAAGCAGCGGGAGGAGTTTCCGGAAGTGGAGACTGGGGGCGGCGGAAATGTTACCGAGGCTCCGAGCTGCGGTGGGGAGACTGCTGCGGGGCTGGGCACCTGTGGGTTCCCACTACCCCACCCATTTCCGACCTAGCAACCTCTTTCCCACCCACCCACCTACCTGGGTGGAATCTTGGGCCCCAGGCGAGCCGACGGGGCGGCCAGCACTCCACTCAGCCGGCTGATCTGTTTGAGGGTTGCCCCGACGACACCCACTTCCGGGAGCAGGGCTCGGCGAATCCGGCTTGCCGGGTGCGGGCGGGCCCCGGAGGCCTTCCCGCACTGTGTGGATCGTTGCTCGCCAGCACCTGCTCCCGGGAGTGGAGGGAGGGGTCTCCGAGCACCATAGCTTCCCCAGCCTCGGGGTCTGACCTTGAGCGGCGGCCCTCAGACTGTTTCTTTGTTGCTCCTGGCAACAGCCACTTCCGGGAGCGAGTGCAGTTCCCCCAGCAACGCGAGCCTCGGAGCCCCGGGTTCCCGCCTCCCAGCGGCAGTTAGTCGGTCGGTCGGTCGTCGCTGTTCGCCGCTCATTCCGGGCCTTCTCGCCTCCTCGGCGGGACCTCCGGAGCCAGCATGGTTCTGCTGCACGTGAAGCGGGGCGACGAGAGCCAGTTCCTGCTGCAGGCGCCGGGGAGCACGGAGCTGGAGGAGCTCACGGTGCAGGTGGCCCGGGTCTACAACGCGCGGCTCAAGGTGCAGCGCGTCTGCTCAGGTGCGGCCCGGCGGCGCGGCGAGTTTGCCGGCTGGGTTGGGGTGGGGGCCCGGACCGCGAGGGCCCCGGAAGGGAAGAAGAAACCGGGCCATCTGGGACGAAGTTGGGCGGGACCCACGAGGCTTTCTCGGGCAGGCTGGGGCCGAGGGTCAATTTTGTGAAGATTTGCAAAGATATGCGGCAGCCGGGCTTGAAATGGGAAAGCGGGGCTCGCCAGAGATGCTTCAAAAGCTGGTGGACCGCGAGGAGAGGCTCCCGGAGCCGGCGGGGAGGGCGCACCCCAGGGTCTGGGAGCCGGGATTGGGGCGCTGGGAACAAACCGAAATAGACCGTGTACAGAGGAGGCAAGAGGCACGGGAGGGAGCCGGAACCTTGGGCCCAAGAGCCGTTGTAGTGGATTTCAGCAAGTGTGAGAGGTGGCACGACCACTGGGCCGTTTTTTTTTGAATGTTGAGCCTTTTTTAAATTTATTTATTTTTATTTTTTATTTTTTGGCTGTGTTGGGTCTTCGTTTCTGTGCGAGGGCTTTCTCTAGTTGTGGCAAGCGGGGGCCACTCTTCATCGCGGTGCGCGGGCCTCTCACTGTCGTGGCCTCTCTTGTTGCGGAGCACGGGCTCCAGACGCGCAGGCTCAGTAGTTGTGGCTCACGGGCCTAGTTGCTCCGCGGCATGTGGGATCTTCCCAGACCAGGGCTCGAACCTGTGTCCCCTGCATTAGCAGGCAGATTCTCAACCACTGCGCCACCAGGGAAGCCCCCACTGGGCCGTTTTTTAAAAGTGAATTTCCTATCTTGAGACTTTGGAGGTAGAGCAGTTTCCGGTGGTGAGCCCCCCACCTTTGGGATGGCCTTCAGAGGTGAGAAACAGTGAGAGAGCCTCGGTGTTCTTGCCTCTCTTGGTGTTCCCTTCCCCAGGAAGCAAAGCCTGATTCTCCTGTTACAGTGTTTTGGTCACCGTCCTCTCGACACTCTGGAGCAGTGCCGGAGCTTTCCACCGCGATGGAAAATGTTCCCAGGTTGTGCTGTCCAGTAAGGTATCCACTAAGCACAGGGGGCCGTTGAGCACCACCAAGAAACAGCGTTTTTTATTTCATTGCATTTCAACTTAAATCCAAGTAGCCACGTGCAGCTAGTAACTGCCACATTAGGCAGCGCAATACTTGACGGGATGCTACTCCAGGTGTGGTCTAGGGTGTGATTGTGTCTATAATTATACCACGTGATTTTTGTACCATGGAGAACTCCTTAAGGGTCATGGTTTCTACCTTTATGGGTCATACGTATATTTTCTTAGTAAAATTTAGACTCCAAAACAATCTCGATTAAGTGTTATTTTAAAATGAAAGTATTTGGGGAGAAAAGGGCCTCAACTTCTTTTTCTATGAACTTATCCATTGAAATGTGGTGCTGATTGTTCAGGCATGTTAGTGAACTTAAAACCCATTCATTTGGGACTTCCATGGTGGTCCAGTGGTTAAGATTCTGCGCTTCCACTGCAGGGGGCACGGGTTCGATCCCTGGTGGGGGAACTAAGATCCTACATGCCATGAGACGTGACCAAAAAAAAAAACCCAACCCATTCATTTAGTCTACAGTCCTTGTTATCAGCTGTGGTTCAGGCAGGCTCCAGTGCTATGCCCACCGAAGACAGAGATGAATGAGACCAGCTCCTTGACCCCCAGATACTTACAGTCTGGTGGGGAGAGAGAAAATAAGTATCCCATAAATAGCCCATTAAGTTCCACCATTTGTTCCATAGTATTGTATTATTATAGGCCATCTGGTGTCTTCACACAGTGCTATGGGAAGACTTAGCTCCACGTACCCCTTTCATGTGGAAGAAGGGAGAGAGAGAGAGAAGGAAAGAGAAGAAAGAAAGAAAGACAGTTTTGCAAGGTTGAAATGTGGATTCGTTTTGGGGTGAATATGTATGGAACAGGAAAAATACAAAGCATGCATTTGAATAGTGAACATGATACTAGAAAATCAAGGTCTTGTCTCTGCCACTGTGGAAGAGTGCCTTATTTCCTCCCCAATTATCAGATGTACATAAATCCTTTATAAAGTATTTATTAAAGTTTTATATACAGTAGTTGAAGTGTGACCAGAGCAAGCCTCAGGTGATACAGCTGCAAATTAGGGAAGATGGGGATGTTGATAACGGTCTGGCCTACCTCTCAAGCTTAAATTAAATGAGAGAAGCTATGTGAACGCACTTGGGAAACCATAACGCCCTATGTGGATGTGTATTCAGACTGTCAATGAATTTGAATTTGTGCCTCCTGAGTGCCGGGAAGTATAACGTAGCACAGTGGGTTAGAGCACAGAACCTGTAGCCTGTGAACGGTGGGTAAACACCCAGATTCTCTGCTTCGGTTGACCTAGGACAAATTGCTGAGCATTTGTCAGAGGTCAAGGACAGGTCTGGCACATAGCAAGTGGCATCAGAGCGTTTGTTAAATAAAATAGCCAATGGGCAAGACCCCCGACCACTAGGGAGCTTACATTCCAATGAGGTGTAAGGTGTTATGATGATGACTACCATACATATTGTCTAACTTTCTCTTGTTTTTAAGAAATGGAAGAATTAGCAGAACATGGCGTATTTCTCCCTCCCAATATGCAAGGACTGACTGATGACCAGATTGAAGATTTGAAATTAAAGGATGAATGGGGTGAAAAGTGTGTCCCCAGTGCAGGTTCAGTATTTAAAAAGGATGATATTGGACGAAGGAATGGACAAGGTAATTCAGCATTTTTCTTCTCTCTGCATGCCTGAGTATAGCAATAAGTACGAAAGCAGTTCTTTAAGTTAAAAAATTGACCTCAGTATTTATATACAAACTTATAAAATACTGCACCATATAACTACTTGTAAAACACTAATCCAGAATGAGTTAGGTGGAAAAGAAGGCATCTATCTTCTTGCTGTAAGTTGCAGCTAGCTTTTAAATGTGATAGATGAACCATAAGAAATTACCATTTTTTGTTATTCTTTCTCTAATTGCTTTAGGTGCAAGGTTAGGTTGTTTATTCGAGATGTTTCCTGTTTCTTAAGGTGGGATTGTATTGCTATAAACTTCCCTCTTAGAACTGCTTTTGCTGCATCCCATAGATTTTGGGTCGTTGTGTCTCCATTGTCATTTGTTTCTAGGTATTTTTTAATTTCCTCTTTGATTTCTTCAGTGATCACTTCGTTATTAAGTAGTGTATTGTTTAGCCTCCATGTGTTTGTATTTTTTACAGATCTTTTCCTGTAATTGATATCTAGTCTCATAGCGTTGTGGTCAGAAAAGATACTTGATACAATTTCAGTTTTCTTAAATTTACCAAGGCTTGATCTGTGGCCCAAGATATGATCTATCCTGGAGAATGTTCGTGAGCACTTGAGAAAAATGTGTATTCTGTTGTTTTTGGATGGAATGTCCTATAAATATCAATTAAGTCCATCTTGTTTAATGTATCATTTAAAGCTTGTGTTTCCTTATTTATTTTCATTTTGGATGATCTGTCCATTGGTGAAAGTGGGGTGTTAAAGTCCCCTACTATTATTGTGTTACTGTCAATTTCTCCTTTTATGGCTGTTAGCATTTGCCTTATGTGTTGAGGTGCTCCTATGTTAGGTGCGTAAATATTTACAATTGTTATATCTTCTTGGATCGATCCCTTGATCATTATGTAGGGTCCTTCTTTGTCTCTTCTGATAGTCCTTATTTTAAAGTCTATTTTGTCTGATATGAGAATTGCTACTCCAGCTTTCTTTTGGTTTCCATTTGCATGGAATATCTTTTTCCTTCCCCTTACTTTCAGTCTGTATGTGTCTCTAGGTCTGAAGTGGGTCTCTTGTAGACAGCATATATATGGGTCTTGTTTTTGTATCCATTCAGCCAATCTGTGTCTTTTGGTGGGAGCATTTAGTCCATTTACATTTAAGGTAATTATTGATATGTATGTTCCTATTCCCATTTTCTTAATTGGTTTGGGTTCGTTATTGTAGGTCTTTTCCTTCTCTTGTGTTTCTTGCCTAGAGAAGTTCCTTTAGCATTTGTTGTAAAGCTGGTTTGGTGGTGCAGACCTCTCTCAGCCTTTGCTTGTCTGTAAAGGTTTTAGTTTCTCCATCAAATAATGAGATCCTTGCTAGGTAGAGTAGAAAGTTAGATCAATGGAACAGGACTTCATCACTTTCAGTATGTCCTGCCACTCCCTTCTGGCTTGTAGAGTTTCTGCTGAGAGATCAGCTGTTAACCTTATGGGGATTCCCTTGTGTGTTATTTGTTGTTTTTCCCTTGCTGCTTTTAATATGCTTTCTTTGTATTTAGTTTTTGACAGTTTGATTAATATGTGTCTTGGCGTATTTCTCCTTGAATTTATCCTGTATGGGACTCTCTGTGCTTCCTGGACTTGATTAACGATTTCCTTTCCCATATTAGGGAAGTTTTCAACTATAATCTCTTCAAATATTTTCTCAGTCCCTTTCTTTTTCTCTTCTTCTTCTGGAACCCCTATAATTCGAATGTTGGTGCGTTTAATGTTGTCCCAGAGGTCTCTGAGACTGTCCTCAGTTCTTTTCATTCTTTTTTCTTTATTCTGCTCTGCAGTAGTTATTTCCACTATTTTATCTTCCAGGTCACTTATCCGTTCTTCTGCCTCATTTATTCTGCTATTGATCCCATCTAGAGTATTTTTCATTTCATTTATTGTGTTGTTCATCATTGTCTGTTTCATCTTTATTTCTTCTAGGTCCTTGTTAACTGCTTCTTGCATTTTGTCCATTCTATTTCCAAGATTTTGGATCATCTTTACTATCATTATTCTGAACTCTTTTTCAGGTAGACTGCCTATTTCCTCTTCATTTGTTAGGTCTGGTGGGTTTTTATCCTGCTCCTTCATCTGCTGTGTGTTTTTCTGTCTTCTCATTTTGCTTATCTTACTGTGATTGGGTTCACCTTTTTGCAGGCTGCAAGTTCGTAGCTCCCGTTGTTTTTGATGTCTGTCTCCAGTGGCTAAGGTTGGTTCAGTGCACACTCTTGCACTGCTGGTGGGAATGTGAATTGGTACAGCCACTATGGAGAACAGTATGGAGGTTCCTTAAAAAACTACAAATAGAACTACCATATGACCCAGCAATCCCACTGCTGGGCATGTACCCTGGGAAAACCATGGTTCAAAAAGAGTCATGTACCAAAATGTTCATTGCAGCTCTATTTACAATAGCCCAGAGATGGAAACAACCTAAGTGTCCAACATTGGATGAATGGATAAAGAAGATGTGGCACATATATACAATGGAATATTACTCAGCCATAAAAAGAAACGAAATTGAGCTATTTGCAATGAGGTGGATGGACCTAGAGTCTGTCATACAGAGTGAAGTAAGTCAGAAAGAGAAAGACAAATACCATATGCTAACACATATATATGGAATTTAAGGGAAAAAAATGTCATGAAGAACCTAGGGGTAAGACAGGAATAAAGACACAGACCTACTAGAGAATGGACTTGAGGATATGGGGAGGGGGAAGGGTAAGCTGTTACAAAGCGAGAGAGAGGCATGGACATATATACACTACCAAACGTAAGGTAGATAGCTAGTGGGAAGCAGCCACATAGCACAGGGATATCAGCTCGGTGCTTTGTGACCGCCTGGAGGGGTGGGATAGGGAGGGTGGGAGGGAGGGAGATGCAAGAGGGAAGAGATATGGAAACATATGTATATGTATAACTGATTCACTTTGTTATAAAGCAGAAACTAACACACCATTGTAAAGCAATTATACTACAATAAAGATGTAAAAAAAAAAAAAAATTACCATTTTTGTTGGCAACAAGTGATTGAAAATTGGCATTTTCATGTGGTTCAACCTAATCGTTTGAGGGGATAATCATTGATAATGTATTGAAGGGTGTGTTTTGTTACAGTTTGCAGATCAGTGTTTATTTAGAGATTCTGTGTGGAAGGAGGAAATAAATGTCAGTCCAACAGTCTCCACTCGAATTGAGGACATGTCTCTCTTTTGTACAAAGCAGTTTAGGACACACCAGAACACTGAAGAAATTCCTCTTGTTTTAGTATATGTTTGTGTGGAATTGGAAGGAAAAAGGGATGATAACCCATTTTGATAGCTTCTTATCCCTTTTAACCTGCATAAAAAACTCCATTTAAAAGATTATAGGGGCTTCCCTGGTGGCACAGTGGTTGAGAGTCTGCCTGCCAATGCAGGGGACACGGGTTCGTGCCCCGGTCCAGGAAGATCCCACATGCCGCGGAGTGGCGGGGTTCGTGAGCCATGGCCGCTGAGCCTGCGCGTCCAGAGCCTGTGCTCCGCAACGGGAGAGGCCACAACAGTGAGAGGCCCGCATACGGCAAAAAAAAAACAAAAACAACAATATCAACAAAAAAGACTATAATTGGGACTTCCCTGGTGACGCAGTGGTTAAGAATCCGCATGCTGGGCTTCCCTGGTGGCGCAGTGGTTGAGAGTCCGCCTGCAGATGCAGGGGACACGGGTTCGTGCCCCGGTCTGGGAGGATCCCGCGTGCCGCGGAGCGGCTGGGCCCGTGAGCCATGGCCGCTGGGCCTGCGCGTCCGGAGCCCGTGCTCCGCAACGGGAGAGGCCACAACAGTGA